CTGTGAATGTTATGCTGTTACTTTCAGTGCAGAAATACTCCTTTTAATGTCTGAGGATTTCTTACCTTCTCCCTATTCTCACTGGATAGCCTCATTAAGTAGTTTGAGTAGTAAAAAATTCACTTAAACCCCATTCTTTTCCTACTGAGGTCTTGAGAGAAAATCCAGTGGAATGGGAATAGGTAGAATTTGCTTATCAAACCCATTCAAGAGCACCATATACTTGTAAATCAAACATTATCTAAGTAGTAGAAATATGGATTCAAGTTCCAGAGGGGAAAAAACCAAAACAACAAACAAACAAACAAACAAAAAACCAACCAACCAAACAAACAAACAATAAAACAAAACACCACAAAACCTTAACCTTTTAAGTATTTCTGTGAATTCCAACTAGAGGAAAACAAATTCTGTTTACTTTTATAAATAATATCAAAAAATACAAGAAGATGAAATTTCATGTGGGAATAACAACCTGGACAACAAAGTAAACATTCTTGGTTTTCGAAGAGATCCTTTTACTTAATCCATGAAGGGAAAAAACTCTTTATTTTTCATTGAAATATTATAATTGTTTTGAAACTAATTGGTTCAGGAGGTATTCCATGGTCTATATTCTTAAATGATAGAAGGTGTAATCAAGTAATTCAACTAACAGCATGCTTGGTAGAATGAGAAATGTTTGTTTAGACTCCAATTTATGGTTGTTTGTTTTGTTATTTTACCCTCAGGAGAGAACTTAAATGTTTAATTTTGTAGCTTTTCTAATAATTATACAAAGCACACAATAAAGCATAAGGCAACTTTGCCTGGTTTATATTGACATTTTTAATTAAATGTTTTTTCTTTTCATTGCAAACAGAAATTTAAAACCAAAAATCATCAGCAGGAGATTTTAACTGCACAACATTCCTTTTGACTTGGAGACAATAGCTCTCATTGGTTTCACTGGAGGAGGATTATGTCTTTCTTTTTTGTGTAAAGTCTATTTTAAATTGTTGAGTTCTTCTACTTAAGTTTGTGGTCTAGTCACTCAGCTAAGCCCTTCCAGGTACTAAGGAATTATCTTCACAAAATTGTTGCCAGGGAGAAGATAATTTATTTACACTTTATAGATTGGAACAAGGCACATCAAATGACTGTGCCAACAAACTGTTGTTCTCTTTGATGTGCTATCAGGACATTTATTAATACTCTTAACAGAACAAATATAATTCAGTGAAAATTTAAATTCAGTGGACCAAATTGGTTTTGGACTGGCTTTGTATCATGTGGTATTTTGCAAACTGTAATGGAGTCTGCGTACAGAGGCCAGCTTCAGCAAATCATCTCTAATGACAACATTATGACCTGTTTTTCCCATCACAGGGTGTGGACCAAGGAGGCCTTGGCATAACCTTTTTGTTATCCCTTTCACTATCTTGGTTTACACAAGCCAAACCACACTTCTGCAAAATAGAATAGAATGTTAGCTGAGTATCTTCCTAACACACCTGTACACAAAGGCATTTCCACATGCCTACAGTTATTACGTCTACTTTACTTACATTTGATTGCATGTGAAGTGCATATTCGGTAAAAAGCTTACTAAATTGAGTTTTGAACCTGGCTTGAAGCTACTTGTCATATATATTGTTTGATTAAACTAAAATATAGGATGTATAAAACATAGACACCTTAGAATTAAATTATTTCTCTTTGTTTAACTTGGAACTCTTATGTATATGCCTGCTTTATTAAAAACATAGCTGTAAAAATTTGAACTACATGAAATAATTAAGGCAAACAAAGCCCAAGCCAGAGACAATAATTTAGAAGCAATATACTTTTTCATGAGTATTCTAGGAGCTGAAATGGGAAATACTGACTCATTCCCCAGAAACATAAGCCTAATTTTTACCACATTCCTACCCTAATTGTGCAGACTCACCAGTTAAGCAGTTTCAGATAGGCAGCTAAATGTCCGAGTACTGCTTTGGGTTTGTATTGTTCTAATCAATCTGATAGGAGCTGAGAGCTGATTTGTTTGAGACTGGACTTCTACTGAATGTGAACCTTGCCCTCCAGTTTCTGTAAATCCTGGATTTTCAGAAAGCTTCTTCCTGGTCGTGAACTCTGTAGTTCTACCACTCATTAATGTAAAATGTTTGCATCATTATTTCTAGATGAATGATTCACTTGTTAAAAAGTAATAGCAAAAAAAAAGCTTAAGAGATTTCAGCAGAAAAGCAATAACCTAGATCCCTCTAGAGGACATTTCTGTAATATTTGGTAGGGAAAAAGAATTGAACTTGTCTCCCAATTCTCTGTCTACAAATAAAGGAAGCTTATCTACCTCATGTTGTTGCTTATTATCTTGCCAGCATGCTTCTGTTGGATGGTGAAAGCTGCATAATTATTGTACTTTCTCTCCCTTAAACCAGTTCATGCTTAGAACTGAGTAATGCAGGAGTTTCTGTGTGCATTAAATTAATTCCTATATGCATGTTTCTATGAAGATTGTATGTACTAGTATTACTAGTACATTGTATTACTAGTACTTCACTCTATGAAGTGAAGTTTGCTGCCAGTTATGTATGCACTTTGTGTAATTTGAGTTGATGGTATGTAAATATTTTATTATTAATGTCCTTTAATATATTTTTAGTTCATCTCTGGTCCTTGTTCTGTTTCTTCTGAACATTTATCATTCTTATCTCCTTCCTAGCAAAGTGTTATATTCCTCTATCACCATGTTATTCCACAGGATCCTCCCAGGTATTTGAAAAACAATTTTAATTTTTTAATTAAATGAATATGAAGAGTGGTACATTTTTATACTTACTTCTGGCATAGAGCAAAATAGTTTTTGATCATTCATTACATGCAAAAGTTCTTGTTGTACACCATGAAATGTAATTTCATCCACATAAGTGAACATTGATGAGGTGCTTTTGAAGAAGTGTTGGGTAAAACTACTGGCCATAATCAACTTTGCTGTAAAGGTGAAAAGAATAATGTTATAATGAAAGATAAAGATGTGGAAAAATACTCATAAAGGCAATTTACAAAACAATTTACAAAGAGCAGCATCATTTTCTGCAACATTATCCTGCCTTGGAAAAAATCTGTAACTTGCATGTATCATGCATTACAATATACCAAAACATAGCCAGACTATACATAATCTGGATTCATTTTCTGACCACAAAATGTCAATAATCTGGGTTTCATAGACTATAATTATCTGCTTTTCACAGAAAGTACTAGCAGTGTCAAAATCTTACCCTTACTTTTGTACTGGAGCTGAGCCAAGAACTATTGATGGCAGGGGAAAGACTCTAGTGGGTTTTGTATTATTCTTCATTATGCTTCACCACTTTGCCTAAGTGCCACTTTACATTTTGTCCATGTACTTGTTCATGGTAGAAATTACATTTCAAACTGGGAAGTATGTTTGAAAGGATGTGAGCTGCCACTGGGTACTTTTAAGCAATGTAATTTTTTTATTCTGAGTTGATAGACTGGGTAATTGATTTATCATTGCTTACTTTTGGCTCAGTAATTAAGTGGAAAGCAATAACTCAAGGGCTGCATCTGCCAGTAAGTGGAGCTCTTTGCTAGCCTAGGGAGGTGTGTCCTCACCAGGAGACTTTTTTTTTTCCCCCCCCAAACTAAAACTACTGGAGAGTTGGTATTCAGTTTTAATTTGGCCCTTCTGCAACTTCCACATTATGTTTCAGTTCTGTTGGTTTGTAAAACAAGAGGATGATGGCTAAAATCAAGAAAATTATAAATTATTTCCATGGAGATTTTATTGCTTTTCTCTTTGACAGTCAGCGGTGCTACTCATTCCCTTTGTCCCTTAAAAAAAAAGGGAGATTTTAATGTTTTAGTTTTATGTTTTTGTAAGAAATATGTCATGGTATTTATGGTGTATCATGGTGCATTTTTCCACACCAGGGATATGTGGGTCAGAGTGGACAGTCTCCCTATACTTTTCACAGTATGGGCTCATTGCTCACTGATGAACATTTGCAGTAACGGTTCTTTAGAGCATAATGTGAACCCAATCATGCCATGATCTACTTTGTGGTTTCATAAGTGATTTAAAGTGTAGGACAGTGAAGGATCTGCTTTCATGAGAACTGCTCTTCCAAGAATCAACTTTATTTTAAATTCACCTTCTTTTCTACTACAAGCTGTCTCACTTAGGAAGGATTTTTAATGAAAACATATAACTTTCCAGTCACATAAAGAGAAGCATGGAGAAAATTGTATTCAATCAAAATGAGATGTCAGGATTAGTTTTTTAACTTAAATTCTCAAATGAATTCTCCCTTAAATCCAGATTGAACATACTATTTGCTTGCTAATCCTGGAGGTATGCTTCTTTATGTACTTTATTAATGTTGGAGTCCCATTTATTTATGCTGGTATGTGATTTACTTGGTATGTTTCTCCATGTATACTGGCAATGTTTTATCCCAAATATTGTATATATACATTGGCTAATGCTAAGTCGGCCAGCTTTCTGAAGGTAGCTCCTTTTGTACATAATGTGCACTCTGTAATACTTGTGTTTGTTCCCTCAGAGCTCACCAGTGTTCTTATTCCCCCCACAGTCAAAATGTGTATTGGTACCCCATTCCTGAAAAAAAAAAAAGCAAGACTATTTTGGCAGGAATATATATGTTATTTTAGGTGTGTAGCTATGATTTAATAAGACAGAAAGAGGAAGATGCATCCTCTCCTTACATGTCCTTGTACGCTTGGCAGGGAGCCTGCTCTTACTTCCAGTTGTGTTGAAGATGAGTTAGGCAGGGAGAATTCACCACACCTTGGACTTCTGCTGACTCCATGGCTTTGAAATAAAGATGGAGGGAAAGGAAGATTGGATTTCTGAAAAGGTTTCAAACAGTTACCCCCCCTTTTCTCAATGCTTCTGAGGAATAACAATAAATTAACAATGTTATTCATGTTAGTAACAAAAAAGTCCAAGGAAGTAGAGCATACATGCCTGTTGTATAGGTGGAGGAATAGACTGTGGGATGGATTAATTGTTTTACCACCTGGTGAAGTTGGAAATTGTATCCAGCTTTCTTGTGCAAATCCTACTCCATGAAGCCTCTCACTTTTGCTCCTTTTGAAATTATTGATATTATGAGCCATCCTCAGCTTTCCTCTTCTTTCATTGCCAGGACAGTGTTCCCTGGAAATGCTTTGTAACCTTGCATGCTTGGATGGGTCTTTATAGCCCTGGGAGACAGATTCAAGCAGAGCTTTGAAGGAGATCTGCTTAGACTAAAATCTCTAACTCTTTAAATAAGGGAAACTCAAAACAACAAAGTGTCCTGGTTTCAGCCGGGACAGAATTTTTTTCCTAAGAGGAAATGGAAATAAAATGGGCTTGTAAACTAGTGACATATGGCTATGACATTCTTTGCAAGCTGCCTATTGCTTCTAGGATTAGTTTTGACTCTCCACAACTTTCTGAGCTGCAACAAAGTGCACAGATTTCAGCTTCCAGCTTTCCCTCCCCTGTCCTTGAAGTCTCTCAAAGCTTCTTACCTTGAGTTTGCTCAGCAGCTTTTGAGAAAAGATGCTGCCTCCTCTCATCCTTCCCGACCCACTGATTTCTGAAAAGAATACAGCATGTAACAAACAATGCAAAAATTAAGTAGCCACAATCCTCCTCTTGTAGTGGCTATTTCTCAAATGGGATGGTAGAGAGGATCACTGTATCTAAAGAAAAAAATGCTCCCTAAACAAACAATGCAAAGAGCTCTCTATAGCTATAGGGAAAGCATAAAATGAAGGGGAAACAGTTCACAAGAGAGGAGGGTGGCTCGTGCCAGCTTTCCACAGTACTTTTGCTCCCTGTAACCTATTGTGTTTCCCATCCTCTGCAGAAACCAAAGCTCATCTGTGTTGTCCCTGAGGTCTTCAAGGGACTGATTGTTTTTCAAATTACAAAGACCTACTTCATTTAGCTTTTAGGGGCTTTCAATGATGCTATGAAGTCTCTCATATATTCAGAAAACTACACCTGTATATCTCTGCAGGATCACATTGTTTTATTATTGCTACAGCATGGTGAGACTGCATTTCAGATCACTCCCAGCCAAATCTGGCTTTTGTTCCACATAAAAGTAAGGTCTCCCATAAACCATAGCTCAGTTTAGAAACATAATCAAGGACTGTTGCCTCTTACAAAGCAAGGAAGGCAGTGAATAGTTTCACTCAATCAAAACAGAAACAAACAAACAAAAAACCCTTCCTTGAAAGCCCACAGTATCAGTGAAATAAGCCTCAAAGCTTCAGTAACTTATACTTTTCTCAGCTATGTGTGACTTTGTTAGAGGATTCATTAGTTAACATTAATGTGTTTGCCTATACACTCTCATCTTCATAACTAACACACCAGCACTTGTCTCAGAGCATTACAGTGACATTACATCAGCCTATATAGCTAACTGTGATTTATTAGACTGCAAAAAAAAAAAAAAAAAAAAAAAAAAAAAAAGCGCAATGTAAAAATTAGTTAAAATGGATACCAGGAGGAGAAGAAATGTCAGAGACTGATCTCATGTATTTCCTTAAGAGCAGATGAAGACATTCTGTCCAAATCAAGGTCCCTGTATATTCTTTGCTTTATCCTTATATTTGGAAATACCATCTAGAGCAGGCTGGATCTTATGGCTGTATGTTAAAATTCTCAGTCAATTTACATGAACATTGAAGGAGGTGTCAAAACTCTTTAAACTTAAGGTAAGGACAAATTGCATACTCATAGGTCCAAATATGGAGAAAAGTAACATTAACTCCAATGAAACAGTGCAGGGACTGCAAACTGAAGTAGTGATTAAATGCTCTGATGGATCATTGCCTTTCTGCCTTGTTTTACATCAAACCAGTACAGTTGAATTCAACAGGAAAGACAGACTAATGTAACCATAGTTCATAGGCAACCAGTGCACATATAACTTTCTAAGACAACATCCCTTTTGACTTGAGTCAGTGTGGGCAGCTTAAATTAAGTAGAGGGATTATTCTGTAGCTTCATGTTCCTGTGTTGAAATCAGACCTGGAGAGAGTCTCTCAAAAGAAATATCTGAATCACTGGAGCCATTTTGAGTCACTGTTGCTTCAGGAGAGACAGTAGGTGCTGTGGTACAGAAAGCTGCTCCCTGTTTAATCAGGTGCTGAAAAGGACCTGATGCTAAAAGCCCTGATTGGTATTAGCATTCATCAACAAAATGACTGCTCATAACTAGCTTCCAATTTTCAGGGCTTATGAGAAATACACACCTTACAATAGCTCATTCCACAGGGCAAAGATATGCTTCAAGAAAAAATTAAAGAAAATCTATTGCAGACATAGGACCAAGCCTGACATTTAAATGAATGCCCATAGTAGTAGATTGAAGAGGGTAGGTAGACATCTATATCCATTGACATCTGTTTTCCTTCTGACCTGTATTTTAAAGCAGTCACAGTTGGGAAAAAAAAGGAGAGATTTTCCTCTTTTGGAAGAGAGGGGACTAAAAAATGAGCTCTTTTTGCCTTGATAAAATTAGGGACACCAGATCTTTATTTGTATTGACACTCTCCCTTTTTATTTCCAGCTCTAGTGCAATACTTTGAGAATAGTTGGAATAAGCAGTGTAAAACTTCAAGTGAAAGAAAAGGCCATTCTGTAGAAATAAACATCAAAAATGGGTCGGTAGCCTGTACCATAAAGCCTCCTTTATGCTGTTCTGGTAGTGGTAATGGCTATTTAAGACCCAGAAAGAGTCCTGAAGATTACCTCTCTGGAAAAGAAGACACCATCACTGGGTTGACATTGCTCCACTGCGTAGCCTAGAGAACGGGGGTGAGGTGCAACAGCATTTAATTTCTTCAGAGAACAGTGGAGTGCAGAAAGAAGAGGAGGAGACTGGTAACCTTCAGACCATTCAGGTGAAGCTGGCCCAAAAGGCTCCAGGACCATCGGAGGACGGCTGTGGCACAAGGCCTCCCGTGCACCCCTGTGCAGGCAGCCCTGGCCCGGCTGCCTCCCCCGCCAGGGCCATGGGAGCTACAGTCCTGCAGCGTTTGTGAACCACCTCTGCCAGCAAGTACTTTGCTGCTGACAGAGAAATTTCCTTTGGGACTTTTACATTTGGATTAAAGCTTTTTGCCCCTTTCATCTCAGCTTGCAGAGCTGCAATGAACTCGTAGTTAATATTCTAAACTACCTAAAACACTGAAAAAAAAATCCATTCTCTTAAGCAATTTTAGTGCCTCTCTCTAGAGCACTGATGTTGCCAGGGTGATCATCTAGTAGAGCAGAGAGCAGGGAAACACTGGGTCTTGTTTTTGAGCAGGTGGCCTGCAAGATTGCTCTTATCACATTTGCCCCCCTTCCGAAACAGATCTTGGTTTAGAATTAGTGGCTCTTTGACTCTCCAGCATGTGTCTGTGTCTTTCTTAACAGGAACTACAGAAATTTTAGTCATTACAGACCTGAAGCTGCAAACCTGATTAGATAGAAATCCATGACTATTTTGCATTTTATTTCCCTCTACCGAATGGGGAAACTGGATGGCATCTCTGATGAGATTTGGCTTTTCAGGAGAGGTGTTGCCCAGCTCCCAACAAGACTGAAATCTGGATTCATGGGCAGCAACCAGTAATGTAAGGACAGCTTTTACATGTAGTGTTGGTTGACCTCTATATTATGCCTGCAAGGGCACAGGAAAAACAAGCTTTTTGTAGAAGTCCAGATCTGCTGCACAACAGTTACCTTTCTTACTGGTATGTCATTTATCCAGAAATCCCACATACACTGCATCGGGAAGTGTCATTGAGTGAGATGGAAAGGCTAAAAACCCATTAGCACCCTAGTAAATCTGCTTTGAATACAGTAAGAGCTAATCTGATCTATTGAGCTTGGTATGATATTCCCCTGAGCAGACTAGATTTACAGTGCCTCCAACAAGTGCAGGTGCAGACCATCACTGCTGCCTTGGGGGGTTCACTGGGGCTCAGCTCTGGTCACTCAGTTTAAAGAGTGATCGTATGTTTGAATTCTTTATTTCAGTTACAGACAGAGGTTTTTCATTTGGTTTGTACTTATTTTCTTCTCTAAACTTTAATACCATTGAAATTTTAAGAGTTACCCAAGTCAGATTTCTTCCTGCTCTGTTTTCATTCAAGAATGACTAAAGGATTTTGATGCTGTGAAGCCCAAACTGTAATCTAAACAGAACTCAATTTCTAGCATCAAAATAAATATCTCTGTCCCTCTGAGCTTGACCCATGATCCTTTCCCTCCTGACACTCCAGTGCCAAATCCATCCTCTCTCCCACATTCACCAGAAAGCCTTTAAGTCATGTATTGCAAAGCAAACCAGCATTGTAAATGAGTGTGAAACAAGTTGAAGATGATAATTGAAGTTGAAAGTGGACTTTGCTAGACGCATACTCGCTTTCAAAAATTGAGAATAACTTCGTTGGTGGCAAACATACTGTGCTGAATACAACTTGGTCCCTGGGCCTAATGGTGCAAGGCAAGATTTTGGCCACTGCCACCCACAGGACCAGGAAAAAATGATGGCTCTGGGGACCTCCCTGCTCACCCAGGCATGGAATTCCCCTGGCACAGGCTCAGCCTGAACCTGCTGCTTTACACAGTCCCCACTAAACAAGTTGACCTCTGCTATGAGCAAGATCTGCCCTCTTGTTACAAGACACAGGAGAAAAACATTGCGACTCAGCCTGGGCTGGGGGCCCTGACATGCCTTTGTATTGTTTTTGCTGTTGCAAAGAAGAACCCTTATTTGTGCCACATAAATTTTCAGACTACATTAGTAATTGTAGGATGCCTTGCCACTCTTACTGCCAAGCAAAGGTTATTGCATCCAGTGGTAAATCAAGGGCAGCATCACACTGGGAAAATTAGATTTTGTATAAACAACCTTCTTGAACCCCTCCCAAGTCAGTCTCCAGACTGTTTCTGGGACAGAGCCATACTGTGTTACTCCTCACGGCAAAACTACATAAATAATGAAGGAAAACTGAGAACAGGCTCACATAGGATTCAGATTTCTGTTTCTGAGGCCTTTATCCAGTCAGGGGGAAAGTTGCTGTTCTTTTTGGAGCAGTGTGTAAAATAAATCTGAGCGTTTGTTTACAGATAAAGAAAATACATAAGAGTGCAATGGCATGAATGTAAAACTTCCCATACTGACTCTCTTTGCTTACTCTGAAAGATTAATTAGTCTGCCTATTTTTCAGGTTCTTCCACCTTTGCTTTGTTACTCAGCAGGGACAATATTTTTTTCCTTGTTTTGTTTTTAGGTAAGAACTGTTCTATAGGCTTTATATTCTGTGTCACTTAAAGGAAGATGGAAATTTATGTGGGATACATTTTTTCTCACTATTTCTTTTTGGCTAATATTTTTAATAAAATCTATGTCCGAGAGCCAAATGTAAATATGAAGCACTTGTTTCAGTGCTGATGATTGAAGCTGCTAAACCAGTGAATGTCCCTATGACACATGCATATCATATTCTGCTTGCAGTCTCTGAATACATGAGGGTTTTTTCCCCCCTCCAAAAGGATATAGTTGGCCAATGGAAGTTTAGTCCTGCAGCTGCTATTGCTGCCAGTTTCTCATGTAGTAAAAGTATATGATTCCAGTGGTGCTGTAAACTTCATCACTTCTGAAAGCATTTCTGCACATGCTTGACTGTAAAGTGACACTTCCCAGGTGGTTTCTGTGTTTAAGTACATCTGTTCTGCCTGTCACTGAAACTTTTTCTAATTGTAAATGCCATTGGTCCCAGGCCTGAGTCTCCCTCTTACTTTCACCATTGACGTGCTATAGTATCTCCTTACAAGTAAAATTAATTATGCCCCTGTACATGGAAGTACTAACACAGAAGTAGTCTCTGCGTGATTAAGGCGACTGTGGTGGCAGGCCAGAAGCGTGCAGTTTCTGTAGTCTGCTATGAAATTACACATAGTCACAGTGCTCTGGGTAAGGTAGAGAGGAATTTCACACTGTTTTGTATTGCCTGTGATTTCAGGTAAGAAAATCTTGCATTGTCAGACACACTATCTCTTATTTATTGATCCCCTTTAGTGTATATAAACAAAATATTTTACTGCATAAAAATTGCTGTAAAAACATTAAATGGAGGTTAATTCATTTGCAGGGATAGTTAGGCTCTTAAAAATTCCAATATAAGTTTGTTTAAAATGCCAAAATATTTTAAATGTGCTGTTTTAGAAGTACCACAGGTCCTTGGAAATATCCTTTCCCACAAGGTAGCCTTCTAAATGTTTAATTTAACAGCTGATAATAGGATTTGGGCTCTTCAGGCTGAGAGCTTCCAGAAGTTTATTCAGCTTGTTTATCTAGATGGAGCAGGGACACAGCATGTAATTGAATAAACAATGGTTTAATTAATTTTTCAGTCTTGCTGTATAGTTAATTTGTTCATGTGAATGATAACCTCTTTGGCAGATGCTGGTTTCAAAACAGGGACAAAAAAAATGGCTTTTCAGTCCCCATCTGTGATTTATTTCTGAGGAAAGTGCCATAAATCTTATATCTTTTTTATAGATAATATAGAAGTATTACAATATCTGTTTGAAAGTTTAAATTTTATGGCCTCTGTTTAGTAGTAGTTTGTCTTTCACTTCAGCATGAAGTAGACCCTTTCCTGGGGGAAAGCAGCCTGGGTGACCAGACCCAGTTTGCACAACACTTTCATTGGCTCCCCAGGAACATGGACTTGTTGGCATACCCATCCAGTGGTAGAGGCTGCTGCATGATTGTCTGGGCATATGTGTAGACACTAACAGGCGTTAGCTGGATTGTCAGGGTTGGAAGAAGCACTGTAGAAACACCACCAGCTTTGTTTGGTTACTCCCTTCTGAAAACATGGCTGGGAATAAGAGAGATGTCTGAGCATACAGAATTTGGCCATTCTTACTTCTAATATATAGTTTCAAGCTTTGGGGTTGTGCTTTTGGCTTGGTTTTCGGCTTGTTTGTTTGGATTCTTTCTACTGAAGCAAACAGAGCATTTGTAAAGTGCAGATACACTTTGAAAAGCCACAATCAAATGAAAGAAAATCACAATAATTACAAAGAGTGAGTAAAGGTCAAAGATAGAGTTGGTCAAAAGCATCACCCAAACTTGCTCTGTATTTTTCCCGTGGTGCGTCACAGCTCCTCAGGCTTATGTTGAGTACTGCCAGTCCTGTTTCCTTGATTGTCTTTCTTCATGTCTCAGTCTTTTTTTAGAAGTTCCTAGCCCACAGCTGCATGAAGAAATAATATACAGACAAACTTTAAGACTTCATATTAAACACAAGGTTGTTTTTGTTCCTCAATCAGGCTGAAGTAATCAGACTGAGATCTTAAAACCTCCAATTTTTCTCAGATTTTTTTACAATGCCATTTTTAGGATCCTAGTATTTTTACCATTTTTAACTTGTTCTTTGACAAGGAAAAAAGGCAAGAATTAAATTATTGAGAAACTGTAGTTCCTGTGCCACTGACACAGATGATGTGACTGGAGGATCATAGGAGTAATTCAGCAGCTAGTAGGAAAAGATCTACTTAGTAGTGTTCAGTCTTTGATACATGGAAGTTTGGTTATAATTGAAATGTCTAGCCATTACACAATAAGCTCATGACAATTACGTTACTTTTACATTGCCCTTTATGTATTTCAACTCCATTGATAAGGAAATACAATGAAGATCTAACTGCAAGAAGAATTTGGATGATTGCTCATTGAAATAAGAACAACATCATCAATGTTTTTATCATTCTGATCAGACCAAACAAGTCAGAAAGTCACTGGTTATATAAATTAACTCATCTAGTTGCATCTGAAGATTCTGCGGACTGAAAACAAACAATTCAGGGTCTTTTGCAAAGAATTAGAATGATAACTAGTGTAGAAACTCCTAAGCAAGTTTGAATATCCAAGTAAAAGTGTTTCCTGGCCTGCACCATTCTGAATAATAATCAACTAATACAGCATCTAATCACTCTCTTAGTAAGGTCTGCACAAGAGAAAAATAATGGAGGAGACCTCTCATCTTGCTCCAGGGCCAGAAATCTTGGGAAAGAATGAACATAAGGAGACATCCACAGATGTGTAATGGCAGCCAGAAGCTGGGAAGGAGAGGAAAATGTTGACACAAAGCAGAAAAAGTCAAACTGAAGGCTCAGCAAACAAGACTAAAAGTGAAAAGCAGACTCCCCACCTACCACATGGCTGATATAGAGCTGTGAAGGGAGGCTATTGAAGTGATGGCTGGCACTCTGGTGGGAAGGATGTGTCCTCTCCATCCTACATTCACTGGAAAAGCCTCTGGTATCTAGAGGGCTTTATTCACTTCTGGAATGTCCTTTGTGCTAATAGAGTTGTCTCTGGCCCAATGTACTAAAAAGTTTATTCTAAAAAAAACCAACCAAACAACAACAACAACAAAAAAAAAAAAAAAAAAAAAAAAAAGAAAAAAACAAGAAACAACAAAATCAACAACTAAAACCCACAATAATGGGATTTAGAAATAAAACCAAGTAAGTTTCTAGTAGCAGACTGGCTCTTAACCTTTCCTATACACAGATTGTTCTGATTTATTTTTGGAATATGGCACTGAGCTCTAGACTTATTCATGAATGCTCTGAGAAATTTACTTTCCTTTTATTACAGGACATAAGATCCCACAACACTTTGATCTTCTTTCCTTTCACTTTCTACCTTAGTTTGAAAGATTCTTTTTCTCCTGGCTCCTCTGCATTATATTCCTTGGCTTTTTACAGAAGTACAACTCTGTGTGCCAAACCCTTTTCACATAATGTAACTAAATCCATATGTCCAATTTATACAAATGAACATGAATCTCTGGCAGATGTTCTCTCAAAATCTGGCTACCATTTCAGCATTTTTCATCCTGTGCAGTTTTTTAAGAGATTTTTGCACATGCAGCTTTGACTTTTGGAAATTGGAAAGAAAAGCACCTTCTTTCCTTCTATAGATTTCAAATAATCTCTTAAAGACCTGTAAATTAGCTGTTCTGTTTTCCTAGTCCTTCCTGTTTTCCAAAGAAAAGCTAAAGTTTTGAACACAATTCTTAAAAAAGTATGGAAACTGACATTTTGCCTAATGTTCCTCTGTCCTAATCCAGCTTCTTTGAAGCACAGGTTGGATCAGCAGCTTGTACTTGGTTGCAGATGTTGTTCTGACTCTTACTTGCTAAACTACATGAGACTGCTGAAGAAGTGGAAGCAGAGGGTTACGTGTTCTGTTTGTTCATCACATTTCAAAGCAGCTCATCTTCTGGATCAAAATTAGCTCTGCCAGTTTTCTGCTTTTAGTTTAGACAGAAAAAAGCACAACAGTATTCAAGCTCCTCCAACAGTCACAGTTGATTCAGTTTCCTTATCTGAAGCCTACCATTTTGGTTTATATGCCTGTGAAATTAAGCTATATTTTCATGCATCCTTGTTCTATGACCAAACTCTGTAAATGAAAAAGATCAAACGCTAGAAGACATGCATAAAATGTACTTCTACTTCATTGAGCCTGGGAGAAAAAAAAAAAAAAAAAAAAAAAGAATCAAGCTGTAAAAGCTGTCTGAGCTACCAAAAGGGGTTGTGAGGAAGTATGAGTATTCCAAAGGTATTTAGAGAGAATATGTGTTTATATAGTAAATTAATCTCAAACAGAACTAATTTATCTCATCTGGAGACTCACATGGTATGTAATGCAATTGAATTAGAAAACAAGAAGAGGGTGCTCAAAAATTCTTACCTATTCAAAAGCTGCACCAGGCAATTTCTATTTTAGCATGAAATTTAATTGCATTCTCTAAAATCCACTGGCAGGACAGTCATTTTCTCACCAGCAGGTAACAGCAGTTTCAAAAAATATGCTTTCTCCAATGTAGCTGTGGGAACAGTTGCTACCTAGAAACTAGCGTAATCATTAGTCAAAACAAATAGAACAAACCATTATATAAAGCAATAATTTTACCAGACAAGTACTTTGAGTCTGCCTAAAAGAGATGAGCAAAACATATTATCCGTTTCTTGTTTATTGTCTCCATAAAAACTTGGAAAGATATGTGTCTGGTCTAGAAATTTTTTTTTTTTTTTTTGTCCAGGCACAAATATAATGTTCTTCTTCAAGTTTTGGTTTGGTTTATTTTTTTAAATCTTTCTGGTTCTTGCAACACTTTTAACTTATTAGTGTCTGTCTTATTACTGCAATAGTTCAAACACACACATTTTCCACTGTGATTCCAGTGAAGATGCTGAAAAGTGGTAAATACCGATAGGAAGCCTCATTGGGGGTGTTGTTATCAGAAGGTAAGCTGCTGGTAGCAACCATGGAAATGCTTAGGATGATCTGAAGTAGTCTAAGGACAAGTAATAGGATGAAAGCAAGCAGAGGGGAAACTCTACGTATTCCATCCTGTTAAATTACATAAAAGGTCACTAGGGAACAGGTAAGTGCCTCGAGTCATTTTAAACTGATCTGGATGAAGAAATTTGAGGTTCTCTTGAAGAAAGCTGTTTTGGCAGGAGGAAAGAATCTTCCAATACTGGATTAATCCCAATATTAATTGCAAATGTTACAGTTCCATGGGTCTTGCTTGAGTGCTGGTAACTTTCTCAGTTTGAGTATCTAAGTGCCTGGCGTGTACCTTTTCAAATCAACACCGGAAATCCCTATTTACTGGTGATAATACCATTCTTCTGGAAAATATTAATTGAACCAGGAGACTTTTCAGAGACTAAGCCATTATCATGCTGTCTTTGCAAATGTATAAATTAAGTAGATCTTAAGCAGAGGCCTGAAAGTGGAGCTCAAGCAGCCAATTTTCTCCTAACTTACAGTAAGTGAGGGAGGGGAAACAGTTTAGTTAGAAACTTGAGTTTGAATAAGACATTATTTGGTTAGAAATAATCCAATAGTCATCCAACTATTTATTTTGGGTTTGTTTTCCATTTTGGAAAAGCTGTACAAAAAGGATGTATGAGACATGAGTGAATGAAAAAATAAAGTTAAATTCAAATATGGTGCTGTAAAGTGAGTGTGAGTAAATACAAATACATTGAAAGCTGGCAAAATGAAGTGAGGCAAAGTGTTAATTGATATACTACATTTTTCCTACATGGACTACTAATTGGTTCTAGTAAGGTATTGCTTCCACCTGTGTTATGTTCAATTTGATCTTACTTGGTCACCTTTTCTCTTTTGATATCCTTTTTTTGGTAGGGATATATTTTTAAATTATACACTGATTTACTTGTGACTCCAGCTCTCCTAAATAGATGAGGATTTGCAAAACCATTTCTTACTTTTCCTCCTCATTAGTATTTTTATACGGAGGCTGAAGAAGTATTTTCTAATTTCAGTTTCAATTATTTTTAGGCTAAAGTGGTGACTGAACACAGATTACCTCCTTCTGGATCTCCCACCGGCAGTATATTATTGGCAAAGAGAGAATACTCTAAATTCCTTTATTGTACAGTGATCTTCGTGTCCATTATAACAAAGGCATTTTAATAAGTTTTTAAATATAAAATAATATAGGATTTTCATTGTATTGAATCTGCACAGATAGAGCATTATAAAAGAGGATTTATAAGGCTTTTCCCTCATTTGCTTGATAAACCCACCAGAAACACCAGAAAAAAGTAAAGAACTTACTTGAATCAGTATGTATACTAGGATGCTTGGTAAGCTACCAATGTTGTAAAAGACAATAATCCTTTCCGTGGCATTCTCATGAATGATACCTTGCATAATACCCTGGTTAGAGAGAAAATTTTTTGTATGGCATTTTGAAAAAGTGGGCGGATAATGAAACAAGTAATTTCTTTGAAGGAGCTGGTAGATGTTTTTGATATTGCCTCACTTTTATTATTGTAGAGCTTTCTTCTGATGAATCTATGCAAGTCTCTTTCACAGAAGTTTCCTTCTATGACACTCTGCAGTTAGTTTATTTACTTTTATATTAATAAAAAGCAGCAGAGAGAAATCATAAATGCATTACTTTCCAGTTCATAATAGCCTGGATCATAAATAATGCTATATCAAGTTGTTATTTAAAGCAAGTACATTTTCCTGTAGTAAGATTAGACTTTGTTGAAATTGATGGGTAGAAAAACTGCCTCTATCTCTCCTTCTTTGGTGTCATTTTTACTCAACATTTGGAAATCAGCAACCAGTAAGAGTCTCTTGGAAATCCCAAGGTGATAGGTAGGAAGCAGGCAAGTGTCACTACTGGTCTCTGGCTAGTACAGCTTCTTAGATCTCACAGATGTGATTTAGGTGGCTCTGAACCAGCTTTTACACAGCACCTGTTGTAAGGAAGTCAAATTCCCCTTTTCTAATGCCTTGAATTCA